GTATTCTGCTAGAACTTAATAATTATCCTAATTATATTTTAGAATTTTTATATTTAAAATGAAATGTTTATTCTGTATTTGATTATGTTTATCTACAGTTAGTTACACGAATTTAGATATGAAGCTTTAATAAGTTGTACTTACGCACAATTTACTTGTAATCTTGAGTTTTAAGTAACATGCATTAATAAACAGTACCATATGCATAAAAAGTGATTTGTAAGAGTTTTTTCAAATGCTTTATAATATAGTACAGATAGAAGGGTACTCGTGCAATGCATCGAGATACATTTCGATTTCAATGTTTCGTTTTATTTTTTTAACTATGTCGATATAATACAATTTTATGTGGTTTTGAGTAAATAAAATATAAATTTAAAAATATCATATAAAATTTGTAAAAAAATATATCAATATTAGTATCAAATTAACTATTTAAAAGTTTTTGTTTGTGTATTTTTTTAATTCAAAATTTTTATTATAATTTAATTTATCGTAACGAAGTAACTTAATTTAGGTTTAATAATTTTTTTATAAAGATAATAATTAAGTATTCGGTTAAAACTCAATAATTATCCTACTTATATTTTAGATTTTTGATATTTAAAATGAGATGTTTATCCTATATTTGATTATGTTTATCCGCAGTTAGTTACATGAGTTCAAGCATAGAGCTTTAATAAGTTGTACTTATGCAAAATTTACTTGTAGTCTTGAATTTCAAGTAATATACATCAATACACAGTACTTCATGCATAAAAATTGGTTTTTAATTTTTTTTTATCAAACACTTTATAATATAGTATAGATATTAAAATATTATAATAAGTTATCAAGATAAAAGTTGTTCATTTAATAAATTTTGTCCTTACAAAACAATTTTCTATTTTCTATTAAATTAAATTATAAATAGAAGTTAAAAAAACAAATCAATCATGTATATTTATATTATATTATAAATCATTTGACAAAAACTCTTAAAAATCATTTTTATGCATGAAGTACGGTATATTGATGTTTATTACTTAAAATTCAAGATCACAAGTAAATTATATACAAATACAACTTATTAAAGCTTTATTTTTGAATTCGTGTAACTAACTGCGGATAAATATAATCAAATAAAGAATAGACGTCTCATTTTAAAATATAAAAAATTTAAAATATAATTAGAATAATTATCGAATTCTAATAAAATAATTAATTATTATCTTTATAAGAAAATTATATTATTAAACCAAATATAAATTAATTTGTTATTGAACCTAAATTAAATTATAATAAAAAAAATTGAATTAAAAAATTACACAAAAATAAGGAATTTTTAAAGAGTTAATTTTATACTAATATCGATATATTTTTGTCAAAATTTTATAATATATTCAAATTTATATTTTATTGAAAAAATAAAAGCATCATCACGTTTTCAAAATCACATAAGGTCATATTATAAGATCGACTGAGATAAAAAATAAAATGAAACATTAAAATCGATATGTATCTCGCTGCATTATGCGAATACCCTTTTAGTTCGTATTGATGCTTTTATAAGATAATTTCTTGAAAAATATATAAAAGGATGCCAATTATCATTTTTTGTTGTAAGCTATGTTTGGTAAAATAACTGATAAATTAACTTTTGATTAAAGTTAGTTGTTGTCCAATAATGTCACCGTTTGCTATAAATTGAATACATTTGACAAAACCTAATCGATATACTAATTGACAAATATAAAATGAATAAAAATAACATGTTAAAAATGAATTTAATATTAGTATTATATGATAATTAAAATAATTCATTAATATATTTGTATTATATTAAAATGAGTAGCAAAAATATAAACAATTTTTGATTATTTTGAATTAATTATAAGGACGTTATTACATTCAATATCATGTTATAATTTTCGCATGATAATCTTATATATACATACGCCGCGATACCCTCATAAACCACCACTTAATAAGGTAAAATCCTATATTATTATATTCTATATTTTTGGGAGAGAAAAAATAAAGGGCAAATTACATGAAAAAATAACGTACTTTAACTTGATTCTTATTTTGGGTAAAATATTTTCAAAACTTTCATTTTGATATCTAAGATGTAAAGTTTTGAACATTTAAATACATGGGTAACCGGTTGAAAATTGATTTTAGATTAAAAAAAATTCATGTCACTAACCACGTCAGCAAATAATATTGAGTTGGATAGTAGAAGGCTTAGGTTCTTATTTGATCCAATRAAGTCAGAATACCTTTCTATCTAAAAGAAATGGTGTTCGATGAAACAACCTAGATTCCACACTATGCTCTGATATGGGGAGAGAGCTGCTCTGCGAAGCTGGGCGTTCGGTGTTCTTATGAAGGAACCATTCCCATAATGGTCGGCCTTACTATTGCCATCCATAATGGAAAGGAACATTTACCTATTTATATAATAGATCGTATGGTATGCCACAAATTGGGAGAATTTGGTCCTACTTTAAATTTTCGAGGACATGCAAAAAGTCGCTAATCGGATTAGTCTTACCATCATCTTCTCTAACCTAGTCAAATCAAGACTGRCATTCATCTCCATAGCCCTTTTAAACTAGAAGCTCTAATAACTATTCAAAATCAAGCAATTTCATGCCTTTATTCCTAATTGGGTAGGCTCGGTATTACTCAATCTGGCATGATTGATTGAAGAAAACTCCAAAACTAGGGTTCTAAACCTTTAGATATTTTACAATAAGGTAAGTGAGGACTTCTTCCAAGAACGGATTTTCTATGTTATATATGGCCGTGCCTAAGGGCATATCGGTTGAAGTAGATTCTTCTCATATCACTCGCCACATCAGCATGATAACCGGCTAATACTTCAATCAGTTACCAAAGTATTTAAATGTTTAAAACTTTACATCTTAGGTACCAAAATGGAATTTTTGAAAGTATGTTACCCAAAATAGGAATCAAGTTAAAGTATGTTACTTTTTCATGCAATTTGCCCAAAAATAAATATTATAAGCACAATCTA